ATATTGGACCTTATTTATAATGACTGGAAAATGAACTTAGATATTTTATTCACAACGTAAGGGTACAAAATGTGTTTATTACTCCTATACCTATCTCTTTTACTTTAAGATACCCAAGAGAACATTAATGCTTTGAATAAGTGAAATAAGGCAAATGAGATGACTTGGTGCAATATTCTAGAGTTTACCTCGAATACGCTCTAAAGCTAACATTTACATTATTTTATTTTCTTCAAGCATCATGTTAAAATTTTAATAAGATGTTTTGGTGAGATTAGATAGAGAGTATGCCAAAGTACTATGTCAGACTTGAATAGCATCAAGATAGCCTAAGGAACTCCAGTATGAAATCGAATTTTGAAAAATGATTGTTTATTATTTAAAAATTAGCTGGAGATCAATAAGGCTGACTTGGGTGGTAAGTTTCAAGTTAACATGATTATTGGCTTGTTACCAAACTCGTTCGACTCTGTTAGAGTGAACTAAATAAGGAATCAGTTTGAGTTCACACTCGCTGATATTCTTATAGAATTGGTAACAGATGAAGGGATAATCAATAGTATGGGCGTTCCTATCAATCTAACCTAGTCTATACCATCTTCTTCTAGGCCCAAGTGGAAGGGCAAAGCAAAGAAGAAGGATGATAATAGGACTAGACTAGCACAAAACATGGGTATTCAAAAAGGTTAAAGGGAATAAGGCAGTGTATGTTGAGGGCGAAGAAAACTATTTCTTTTGTCGCTAACTAAAACACTAAAGGACGAACTGTTTAAGCAATGACGTGGCATAGGAAAATATATATTTAATCATTGAGCCATGTTACGTGGTTGTGTCTATTAATTCCTGATGGATAGATTCTGGAGCCACTAAACATGTTTTGCAATTTATTGTAAGGATTTCAGGATTCCAGAAGCCTCGATGATATGGAATATATTTGTACTTAACCTGATGTCAAGGTTGTAGCTAAGTCAGTGGGAGTATTACATCTGAAAATAGAGAGTATGAGAATATTAGTATTAGAGAACTATTTTTATGCACAGAAGTTAGACGCTATCTTATTCTTGTTTCACTTGTGGTTTATAAACACTGTGTTGTTATTTTGTAAAACTGGTTTTATAAAATTGAATAGATATGCGATTACTTCTGGTGTATTGAAAGATGGTTAATATACTATAATCACAAACTCTTAAGATTTGCAGGATGTAGAAACTAATGTTGCATCTTCTAGATTGAATGTTAAGAGAAAATTTGTTATTCCTGACTCATTGTATTTTTACTGTCTATTTTTGGGTTGTTATCAATCAAAATAAGATTCAAAGATTGGTCAAAGAAGGTTAATTACCTAGTGAGGCAGGGGAGCCTAAACCAAACTTGTGAACCCTGTTTTGAAGGATAGATAACTCTTAGGGCTTAATCAGCCAGATGAAATAGACATAAAGGACAATTGGAGTCGGTACACACTGACACGTGTGGTCTTATGAACATCCAAGCAAGATTACTCACGTTTTGGATAAGTTTATCTGATGCAACACAAGTCTTAAACTCTTGGTATTTTCTGAGAAGGTTAAGACTGATGTGGAACACATATTAGGTAAACTTGTCAAGACACTTCGATCGGATCGAGGATATGAGTATTTCTTGGGATAGTGCAAAGACTATATGGTCAATGAGGGTATGATGTACCAGTTTTCCGCAATTGACGCTAAATGTATTTAGGTGTCAAATAGGAATAACAGAATTCCACTTAACATGGGTAGATCTATGATCAGCTATGCTACATTATCTCTTTCATTTAAGAGTTTAGCGTTAATGACATCGATGCGCATTATGAACTGCATTCCATCTTAGTCTGTCTCAAGGATACCGTTGAGCTGTGTTTTTGACTAAATATTAGTTTGAATCATATGCACATATGGGGTAGTCTTGCACATGTGCGCTTGATATGGACAAGTAAGTTGGAAGCAGATCATAGACATGCTAGATTTGATAGCTACTCTAAATGTCACTAGGATGGATTATTTTATGATCTCAAAGATAAAAGTTAATTGTTTTGACTCACTGTTTATCTATAGGAGAATCATATTATGAATCACATACTTAGTAGCATAATGTTAGAGAATTTGGTATGAGTACCAGATGTACCACATGTGAACACACTTATTATAGAGATTGAGAATAATATATGAATTCCCTATTGATGCGTTAGCATCATCTATTACACAGATTCTTGCATCGGTACATTGATGTAGTGGGAGGATTATCATCCAATTCGACAGAATCATGTTTTTAGGTGAGACCATTATGGATATCCCTGTTAAACATGAGTTGGACCCAGTAAGCTACACAGAAGCGTGAACTGATGTGGATACAGATCGTTTTGGTGAGTTACTATGAAATCAGAGTTGGAATCGATGTATTCTAATAAATTCTGGGATCTTGTAGAACTTTCTAGTAGGGTGATTCCTATGGAAGGCAAGTTAATCTACAAAAAGATACCAGAAGATTTCTTAGTGAATAAATCATGAATGTGCAAGGGAATGTCATTATTTTTCTAATTATATATATATTGATGACATCCTACTCATTTAGAATGATGTGGAAGTTGTGTCATCAATAAAAAGGTAGTTGTTCAATTACTTTTAAATGAAGGATTTTTAAGATGTAAGCTATATTCCTAGGATCAAGCTTTTGTAAGATCAGGTTAAAAGGAAAATAGGCTTATCTTAATAATCCTACATTGATAAAGTTTTGACCAGGTTTGGTATGCATAACTCAAAGAATGAGTTCTTGCTTTATTGATATGGATCGCTCTCTCTAGTAAGTAGTTTTTCAAGACTAGCAGAGGAGATTGAGCAAATGGGACTGGAACAATATGTTTCGGCATATGAGAGTCTCATATATGCCATGGTCTATACCAAACAGGACATCCGCTACATAGTAGGGATAGTCAGTAGAGATCAGTCCAATACTGGACTTGACAACTGGTCTATTGTGAAAAATATCGTTAAGTACCTAAGGAGAACCAATGATATCATATTCATTTATGGATGTGATGATATGGTCCTAGTCAGGTATGCTAGTTCTGATTTTCAATCAGAAGTAGATACTATGAGGTTCATGACTCAGTGTATGTTCACTTAATGGAAGGGAGATCAGTTGGTAGATTGTTAAGCAGATTTCAACTGCTGACTCAAACCTGTAGGTGGAATATATTGCAGCCTTAAAGGCGGCAAAGGAAGCCTATTAGTTTGATCTCACTGATTTAGAGGTTGTGGAGCATACTAGCCTGCCTATCGAGCTATATTGTGACAATAATGCAGAAGTAGTCCAAACCAATGACCCAAGGTTCCATAGAGGAACAAGATACACTGAGAGGAAGTATCATGTTCGACATGATATTGTCCGACAAGAAAATGCACTTGTAGTTAAAACATTGCATTGGAACACAACTTTGTTGATCCATTATCAAAGGTGTCATTGATCAATAATTTTGAGCATCATCTGGATAACATTGGAGTTAGGTGCAATTTGAATTGGCTATGAGGGCAAGTGGGAGCTGTTGGGATTTATATGCCCTGGCATAGCAAATTCCTATCTGGATTGTATTGACATATGTTCCTGACATATCTGAAATATTTATGATTTATATAATTGGTGAATTCAATGTATTATGTTTCAATTCACTATGAAATTGATAGTGTCCAGTTAATTACAAGAAATATTTATATATATGTATGTGATGACAATCAATGCATGATATATAAATAGTAATTATAAATTGTTCATAGTCGGTAATTATGGATGGACTCATAATTAATTAAGACTTGAACTGGATCCGCGTTAGGTTGAGATATATTGCGAGAGCCGTCGTATGCAATTACTCCCTATCACCGTCATGGCATTTGACTCTTAAGCATGAGAAAAGTATAGACTCTTTTATTAATTAATAATTACTTTGATTTGTTTGGCGGATTTTTCGGGATCCTTAGACCGACACTTTGGGTAGTTATGTAATTAATAGTTAGAGGGTTATATTTTCAATATTTGCATCATTGCTACTTGTATTTATTTTGTATTGATTATGGTTGATCACAAAGTAAATTCGAAGGCCTTCGTGTGTTTTTAGACAAAATGATTTATTATATATTTATTTAAATTATTATTTTTGTCAAACAAATGTTTTATTGTGATCGAGCCAGAAATAATCAAAGGTACCAAAATAAATATATTAATTAAGTAGTCGGATTGATGGCTATATTTATCCGATAACTAATTATGCATAGAGGGGTCAAAGTGCAATATTGACTTAGAGGTTATTTATTATTTAATTGGAGTTCAATTAATTTCTTTTAGTGGAGTAGAAATTAATTTATGAATTAATTGAATTGGGTCCATGGACCGAGCCAATTATTAATTCATTGTAGCCAATAAAATAATAGGCCCAATGGATTCTCACTCATAGCCCAACTTGATATTGGAATCATATTAGATTTGAGACATATGAATTAGAGATGGAGAAGGATTTGTTGTTTCCTTTTCTTTATTTTTATGTTGCCTATAAATATACATGGTCTATGTATATTTTAGGTGGTGATTTTTATGAGAAGGAAAAAGGAATAAATTTTCTCTCTCTAGAAAATTAGGGTTTATGTTCTCATCTAATGGAGGCTCCCACAAGCCTAGTTTTCCAAGGTCATTCATGGAGGCATATGAGTGATTCCTAAAGGCAAAACAATTACCAAGAAGATGGAGATCCAAGGAGAATGCATCTAGCAAAAGGGATCTACAATAAGTGAGAACATTCACTTTAGAGGAGAGATCTGAGGTTTACTCAAACCTTGATGTAAGTATTCAATCTTTTAGTTGAATAATACATCATATTTTATTTTATTTTTTTGCATAAAACTTGTCTCTATGTGATGAATCAAGATCTATGAATTTAAATCCCTCGAAAAGTTTTTAAAACTAGCACGTTTCCCAACACCAACATGCCAGGCAAAATGGATCAGCTGGCAAAACTTAGCAGCACCGCCTTCATGTGTACAACAATAGGTAATTTTATGCCATCTTTAGGTAACATGGATGACAGAAATTCTAATGAAAGTGATAGCCTTGGTTATTCTCGTAATTACCACTCTTGGGACTGTCTGCATCCAATTAGACACTGGTCTATTTATATAGTTTTTTTACGATTGAACATATTGCAGTTATGTTTTTATGTTTGTTTTGCTTGTAATATTGAGTTTCTCAGCTCTGACAGTTTCAACCGCTAAAAAACATTTACAATTGAAGTATAGTGATTTACATCAAAGTACTTCAGGCGTAGTAGAGTTGGAGGATATTGGAATGGTAACTGTCCAAAAATTGAAAGATTATGTGAAAAAATATTGGATGATGGCAGAAACAGGTGGTCCTCAATTTGTGATGGCTCGTTCTGTGACATGCTCTGCTTCAGGGGCAATATGTTCTCTCACTACTCTCATTTTAGCAGAAGCGGAGCTCAGGACATACTTGACTTCCACAAATTATCCGGACAATTTCAATTCGGATTATAAGTTGTCAAACTTCTACGTTCTTGTGTTTCAGACTATCGGGGTGGGAGTAGGTACAATTAACCCAGTTTTTGGATGGTTCATTGCCATAACATTCAAGTGCTCAGTAAGAAGAGGCAAGAGCTACAAAACAGAGGATTACTGGACCCGAAGGCTGGTAGATTGGAGAGACAGCCCCTTGGCTTTACGCTTCCGGAGCAACAAATTCAGAAAAATTGTTCACTACACGAAGAATCGAATTCTGAACTTCGGTATTGGAATTCAGATTGTGATTGTCACAGCTAACAAATCACTTTTGCTCATCTCCAGTTTCTTTCCAAGCTTGTTGTTTTCATGTTTCAGCTACTGCAAGGTCTTAAAGAGGAAGATCCTGTCTAAATCTAATGTATCAGGCAATCACACACGATCAGAATCGGAACCCGAACCCGAACCCGGTACACAACTGGTCTATCCTAGCGATTTTGTTCTGTATCTTGACGGCGAGGAGCAAATGCCACTACATATCATGAAGAACATCAGCAATGCTACAGATCATTTGATTCAGATCGGCAAAAAGAAACCGCCTAAATTTCTTAAAGAAATTTTAGGAAAATCTACCGGTTTGGAGGGGGTAGCGGATTTTGACAGCAACCAAAGTTACCATATTCCATCTCTGGTTTCTGAAGAACCTCCTAACTGTTGGACTCTGCCTTTGGTTACACTAACAAGCATCGCCAGGGCACTTCCCAACATTGATGATCAGAAGATGGAGCAGTTGCAAAGCAACAAGAATGAAAGCCTCTTGTATGTCAGACAAGTAGAAAAAATCCTTGATTCCGAAGCTGACTTGGTAAACATCAGAAATGCAGCAGAGAGAGTGTGGTTAGGGGTTGATATCAAACGCAAGTGGCTAGATGAAGATCTCCGAAAATTCTCTCTTGAAACCTCAGAGGAGACTCTCAAGAGACTTGTTGGCATGGCTGAAGTATTGTCAATGAATTCAGGGAAAACAAGAATGAAAATCTGAAGGTTATTGCTGCTAATTCAATGTACAGAATCAGCCAATCAGTGTTGCGGAATCATGAAGGGAGCAACAATCAAACTGATGATGGACTGTTCAAGCAATTATCTGTTATGATTGCGGATATATTGGGTGCTTGCCTCACTAACTTACCGCGTGTCAAAATTATGAAATGCTTTTGCAGTGCCATAGAAAAGAGGGAGAACAGTGTCCAGCGTGCTGCTCAACTTCTTGGTGAAACTGAAGAGACTATCGAAATCCTTCAACAGCGTGAAATTCCTAGTCTGAATCCTATTCAAGCGGCTAATATCAATGAGTGGCGCGCTTCAATGAAGAAATAGATCCCTTGGCTTTTACTTCTTCATCCAACAATATATGGTGCATCTTCTTCTGGTTTCAGTATGTTGCATATAGCTATTGAGTATATACAAGGCCTGCTTGATAATGCTATCACTGTAGGGTATGTACTCATCTGTGAGTTTTCTATATTTAAGTATTGTATGAAGGTAGATTTGTTTTTAAAAACATCAGGATGAAATTAATTGTAAGTGAAGCTGATAATTTGAAGTTTTAATCCTATGCATGTTCAGTAACTGTCTTCAGTTTGTTAAATCTTACATTATTATTTTGTGACTATTGAAACCTAAATATTTTTCAGTGAAAAGGTGAAATTGAAGCATAGAGAGGGGGGGGAGGGGGGGGGGGGGGGGGGGGGGGGGGGGGGGGGGCAGATTTCATTACATGTCACCGAGGAACCTTTGGCATTTTTACATATAAATGCCTTAGTGGCCCATATTTACATATCCATTGAGTCAAAGTACCATAGTATCAAAAAAATATGTTTGACTAAATTGTTGAGGTGACATATGGATTTTTACTGTTTAAAAATTGTGTTACCTAAAATGCCCTTCCCCCTTTTTTCTGTGTTGCCTAAAATGCCCTTCTCCATGTTGCAATACATTTTACCTTTGGAGCCCTAACCTCACTGAATTCTCTCATTCATGCAAGAGTCAGCCCTCTCTCTCTCTGCCCTAACCCTTACTGAAATCTCATTCATGAAGCTCAAGAGCCCTCTCTCTCTCTCTGATGACCGATTCTATTTGGTGTGAAATGAAGCCAGACCTAGGTTGTATCTCTCTCTCCTTCACAATTTAATTCAAGGACGAATCTAGGGTTTGAGATAATTTTTCATGTATTTTTCTGTCTATAATCTGTGATTTTGGTATGGGTTTTTAATTTTTTTCTTTTGCTTTTCCATCGATTTTGCACATTCAATCCAAGATTTCATATTTAATTTTTTTCTTTTGGTTTTCCATCTAACCCTAACATTCCATTCGTGCAGAGCCCTCACCCACATAGTTTACTCTTGTTGCTGTTCTTCTTCTTGGTGGTGTAACGACCTAAAACTAAATACCAATTATAAAAAAATTAAAAATTCAACATGACCTCTGCTAAAAAGGGTCCTACAACAACCTATTTAAATACAAAAAGATATGCAATGGCCTCTCATGGACCTTTAGGACTTATCCAACTTGTCCCAACACATAATACAAATAACACATTCCAACATCCCTTTCATTCATTCATTATACCTCAACATAGTTTATCTCATGGTGGAACATCCACCAACCATTTAATCCAATTATCGTAATTACAGTCCCAAAAATATATGGTTAAGATCTAAAGTCCATGTCTTACAACGTTTAGACAACTTATACTAAAGTTACAGTTCATAAATATAATTACAATAACAAGAATTCACAAATCTCTATACCGAATATAACAAACTAAGGTTTTACAAACAAATATGGGACTTAATAAAACAATAGCAAAATGGTCTTCTAATCAAAATTAGGCCTGTGGTGGAACGTCATCCGCCACTTCTGTGATGACCCTGGTTTTTAGGCCAGCGTGTCCTGTGATGAACAGAAGATTGACCCGATAACGGATTCAATATGCGGAAGCAAACATAGAAAACAAGACTCTAAGAAGTCAAAGTGACCTTCCATGAGGTCGTGGAACTCAATGAGAATTGATGCGGAAGCAAAAGATCAAAAATATGACAAATAAGCCCCCAGGGCAAAATAATCATTTTTAAAAGTATGAATTTCGGTGCCACCGAGCACACCACTGGAAATACAACGAAAAACTAACCAAGATGGACTCAAGATTCACATGATTCGGGGTCCGGTTGAAGAAAATATGAAACTCCAAAGTTTCATAAAATCAAACTTCTGGGTTTTTAAAATAAGTGCGGCAATGGTACTTTACAAGGGGTAAACTGGTCTTTTTAGATAAAACTAGATGCAACTGAGAATACCATTAGATAAACAAGGAAAAACTAATAAATTTAGACTCAAGAATCTCTTGATTCGAAGTCCGAATGAAAAAGATATGAAACATCTAAGTTACAAAAAACTAGACTTTTGGGTTTCAAATCAATGCGGCAAGGGTACTTGGTAAGGGGTAAAATGGTCCTTTCAGAGAGAATTGAATGTAACTGTACATACCGTTGGATAGACAAGCAAAAGTTAATAAACTTAGACTCAAAAATTACTTGATTTGGAATCCGGATGATGAAGATATGAAACCTCAAAGTTTAAAAAAAAAATCAACTTATTTTTTGGGTAAGAAATCTGGGCAGAAATAGTGTTTTTACAGTAAGTAACATTTGATTTTTTTCCCAGAACTGAGGCTGAGAACGGACCCTTAAACGAGTTTTTCTGGAAAAACATGAAGAAGAAACCCCCCCTTAAAATCATGTTTTCTACCCGACATCGCGGAAGAAACCAAAAAAAAAAATGATGTAAAGTCCCTAAAATGCCCCTTGAACAACATAGGTCAAGATGGACCCAAAAAGCTGCTACATGAATTTTTTTTCAGAATCTGCCCACAATTGAGAGCGAAAACGGGCTACCAAACAAATTTTTCTGGAAAAACACGAAAAAGAAACCCCCCCCCCCCCCTAAAATCGAGTTTTCTACCCGATCTCGCGAGAGAAAATGAAAAAATAACTCACTATAAGATGCCCAAAATGCCCCTCCAAGAAATCTGATCATGAGGGTCCAAAAAGCTGCTAAATGAAAACTGGAAGCTGAACTTTACGATGGATTTCCAGCCCAAGACAAAATTTTCTAGAAAAACACGAAGAAGAAACCCCTCCCTAAAATCACATTTTCTAAGCGACCATGTGAAGACCGGAATTTATTTCCCGAAGGAAAACCCCAAAGTGCCCCTAAACCAGATTATGCAATAAAGGTGCAAAATGAATCCCTAGGAGGCTCAAATTGCCAAAGAAGAGGTTTTACCTGGAAACGACCATGCACACAAATGTAACTTATCTATATGGACGTGCTATAATGGTCCATGGCTTAAAAATACCATCGATGCAAAATTCGACCCCTCAACGACCAAAAAGGCAAAAATGGACTTGAAATGGGAAAAATGAAAACCAAAATTTGGAAATGGTTTCAAATGATCGTTTGGCCCTTGGCCACACTTCAAACATGATTTATGAGACCCTATGAAAGAATGAAAATGGAATTCCCACACCCGATGCAACTATGGTGAGACAATGACTTGGCATTTTTCAATATTTTCATAATATTTTATAAAGTTAAAACATACATAGAATTCAATATACATGTCAATGGCCTCCGGCCTCATCTCATACATATTAAATACATTGTAAAGAGTGTACTTAGGTACAAATTACATACATGGAATCAAAATAAACATAAACAAACATGATATGCTAACATGTGCATATTCAATGTCATCAAAAATACTTCAAGACTTCTTGCATGTCTAAAAGTGTCGTGTATCCCACAACAAAACTTCTTTACCTGCAAAACACCCAGTAACTTCGGGGTGAATAAACAAGACTAACAAGTTTATTCGTAGGGGATGAGCATGCATCGACTTGATTTCTTTAGAAATTTTTAGGACTAACATGATATAGTTCAAAAGGGATCATGCCACCTAACGTCTATGTCAAAGATTAGACTCAGGGATCATCATAAGCTACCATAGAGTATAAGCAACAAGAATCATGATATATATATATATATATATATATATATATATATATATATATATATATATATATATATATAAAACAAGTTAAAGTTGGGATAATCTAAGAACATGACAAGAAGGTTACTTGAACATAGATTAACATGAATTGCATTATCAATACAATTAAGCAAGGCTTGGAATAATTCTATACAACACGAAAAAAGGATACTAGAACATAGATTAACATGAATTGCATTATCAATACAATTAACATGATTGGAACATTCCAATTAACACGAAAGGGTTAATACACGAAATCAAGAACATGGCATAATATCTATACTATTAGACAAAGTTAGAACCATTCAAATAACACGAAAAGAGTTACACATGACATCAAAGATAATGCATAATATCTACGCAATTAAAAAAGATGGGATATTCCATAAAACAAGAAAAGGAAGATACATGGAGTCAGGAGCAAGGCATAATATCTATGCATTCAAACATGGGTAGAATCTACCACATAACACGAAAAGAGTTTTAAATCTTCAAGGAATACAACACTTAGAATTTAAGGAGTTAAATCACGAATGAAACATAAAATCTATGCAATGAGACAAGATTGGTGCATTTCACATACACGACAAGTTTAAATTTTCAAGGAATAGCAACTTGAAATTTAAAGAGTGAAATCAACCAATGTGGAAACTTGGATATTGCCCGGATTAAAACCGTACTCTTGAGATCACTTTAGAGCTACTAACCCATGGGTACCTTTCCCCTAGTGCGCACTATAGTGTAGAAGGACATTCCCCCGTACTAGAACCGAGTCCTAGTCATGTCAATTCTTGATTGATATCCCAAATCCCAAAATCAACAAGTTGTGCAAGTCAAGATTGTATCAAAATACAAGAAATGCATTAACCACATATCATGCACAACCAATATTTTGGAATACACAAGTCATGTCCTACGTTCTTAACTATGATGGCATGTGAAATGTCAAGAAATCAATGTGTACATTTATGTAGACTACAACCAAGATAAATAGCACATGGAATCCATCGAAGTAAATATACCATAAGTATACGATACATGATTCAATGATATACTAAAGAACACATGTGTGAATAAACTATTCCGAAACAAATGAGCATGCTCATTAAGCACATTAATGAAACCAAGATACAAGAAGTTTAGATACATGATATCAAGGCATGATTAACTCGAAGGAGACATAAAATGAAATTTAATCTACTTAAGGGATTAAATTATCAAGGTTACATGGCAAGTCCAAATGTTTTACGAACAGGTTATGTCA